GGTGGCAGAGGTGGGAGGCTAGGACGATAGGAAGGGCACCGAAATTGTCACGCCCCGAACTAGTCCCGACCGGAACTAGCCCGTGACGCTCCAAATTAACCTGTTAATCGATACCAGTCCCAGGAAACAGTGCTGGTATCACAGGGAGACAGAATATCACAGCAACAGAGGTCTCTTTATTATAGAGTAGATGTACAGTCATGTTGGGCTGCGGACAGATCCCGAGCTCACAACTGCAATACAAAAGGGAAACGGAAGCCAGGATTTGGACCAAACATCACAGGCGCGACTTGGGAACTAGGCCGAAACCCTAAAACTCTTCATAGCCGGCTTGCTCCTGGAAGAACTCCTCATCAGCAGGATCCGCTTCATCTTCTTCAGCAACTGGGGGCAATTATTTATATAGAGCAAGAGTGAGTACGGGGAGTACTCAGCAAGCCATGGGAAATAAGTGTTTAATGCGGGCTTCAAGGAAAGGCTGATGTTTTTGCAATTAATTTTATTTGAACTATTTTCTGAAACGACTAAGTGAGTGCTTCTCAAACGACACGGATGAGACAGTGCATCTCGTCCGGTCGGAGTATGTGCAATGTATCAGTCTTTAGAATTTAAACAAGGTTGGCACCCGGCCAACAGCTTTTTCAACGGCCACCCGGGCCAACAACTTTTCAAACGGCCACCCGGGCCCAGCTGATCCCATCAGCTGCAGATTTTTCAAACGCCGAACCCCTTTTCACACAGCAATTTCACAAGCAGTAGTCAAACCAAACTACGCTAGGAATCACCTCACATCCGCCCATGACCGTGGACACGGCTGTTCGAACAGTTTGTTAACCTCTGCAGAGGGGGTACACTTTACCCACACGACATTACTAACCCGGGTCACCTAGCCCGTGGGGATCAGCCACGTCGGGAGACCTCCAAGCTTTCATGACAAGGCATTTCTAAAGCCGACACAGGTTTACCATATGCCGACGAGAGGGGTCCCAGACCAACAACAGGTTAGGTCCCAGACCATACTGTGCCAGGAAGCCCAGGGGTCCTCCCCGACACCACCCCGGTGAATCCACATGTCTCTCGGCATCAAGGTTCCCCTGATAAGCTAGTTACTCAGCCAGGGGTGTCCCATTCCACCCATGTGGTCGTACTTGTCTTATGTTTGGATGAAATTCCAAGGAATCGGTCCTTAAGTGCGAGAGCGGGAAACCGTACACCCGGTACATTTCCCGGTCCGCGGTTTTTGGAAATTCATTTAGTTCGCAAGCACCGACCCAGGTGTCGGGTTTTCCAAGTCTTTTTAAAACTCCAGTTTTACCCAAGTTGTTACTCAGATTTTAAGTTTGAAGGCGGCCGTCGATATTGGCACAGGGTGCACGAATATCGAGGCGCAACTAGATGGTTACAAGGGGACATGGTATAGAAATTATCAATGGAAGGATCAATGCAACAAGTTAGGTAGGCCTGCCAATCTGTCTTGCAGACGGAACAACAGATTAAGTGCGATCCTATCAATGCATAATATTTTTCAAGCAACATAATTAGATTTCAAATATAGGCTCAAGATGTTCAAAGGTGGCTTGCCTTGCTCGAGATCTGGAGCTTGATCCTCGAAATCCTCGCACTGTGGGTCTTCGGGCTCCGAAACTATACGCGAAACGGGACAACTCAACAAAGGGCGAAAATAAAGCCCTATTAATGACCTCTAAGCGTGCCATTAAATAGATCTCGAGATTTGAGAAATTTTGGAAGTTGAACGGAGTCAAACGGATTTACGGTTGGGATGATATTGAATTTCTAAGATTATTGGATTTTTGGTCTAAAGGAAAAGGATTTAATTAAATCCCCCTTTTTTTTGGAAAAGAAAAGAAAAGAAAAAGGAAGAGGGAGGGAATATAGACTTTTCCTCGGGCGGCTAAGGCGCGGCCCAAGGGAATTGGAGCGGCTCGGCCGAGCTTAACGGGCCGGCCGGCCTAAGAAGGCGGCCCAGAGCGGCCCAAGACGCGCGCGCGCGGAGGGAGGAGAGAGAGAGCCGGTGGACCAGGCTCACCACGCGCGGTCCCGGGTGGGACCCGCTTGTCAGCGGCTCGGCTCACCATGCGGAGGGAGTACGTGGCTCATGCGCGCGGGCGGGGGAGGGACGCGGCGCACGCGCGCGGTTCGCGGTGGACGCGGGTGCGGCGGGCCCACGCGCAGCCTCACGGCTCGCGGTGGAACGCGCGCACGGGGAGGGACTGACCGGGGTCGGCTCGGCCCGGTCTAGGCTGAGCTGGCACCGACGTGGCGCCTACGTGGCTGCCACGCGGGCCGGCGGGAGGTAGACGACGACCCGGCCGCGAATGGACGGCGGGCGGCGGCGGCGAGCGGCGGAGCGAACCACGGCGATACGGGCAAAAGCGAGCACACCGGGCGGTTGCTCGAGACGAGGGGAGACGAGCCAACGGCTCGGATTCGCCAGAGGGAGTTCGACGGCGGCGAATCACGGCGGCGACAACCGGCGGGGAGGGAAGAGGGAAACGCCGACGAGGTCACGAGGGACCGATTCCCGGCGGTGAGAGCATCTACGCGGCTTCGGGAACTCGATGCCAGCGTCGGATTGGACGGAGCTACGCCGAGCGAGGCTGGCGACGTGCGGGTGCTACAGAGCTCGAGCAGCGACGGCGGCGAGGACACGGCGAGCGACGGCAACGGTCGGGGCGGCGCCGGCTAACTACGGGGAGTCTACTCGGGCTACCACCGAAAGCTAGGGGGAGGAGATGGAGCGAGGAGGAAGAACGGAGGGAGGCATCACCGAGAAGAGGAGGGGCGCTGTGACGAGAGGCCGACGGCGCGGGAGTAATCTCTCCGGCCTCGGGCCAGGGAAGAGGAAGAAGTGGCGCGGCCGAAGTCCCCTTCCGCGTCCTCGAACGCACCGGGTCTCCCGGCGCTCGGCGAAGGACGGCGGAGGCGAGACAGAGCACGGGGGCGGCGGCAATGGCGCGGAGACGAATGGATGGGGGGGGAAAGGGGGAGGCTGGGGTTTAAAGGGGGCGGCAATGTCGGTTTGGGAACCGACTTGCGCGGTCAAGGGCGCGAGCTGGCGCTCGGCGGTCGCGGCCAAAGCGGCGACAGGGAGGATGACGGCGGCGAGGAGGAAAAGGGGAAAAGGAGGGGGAGAAAGGGGGCTTGTCCCCTTGCCGATTCGGGAAAAAGGAGGAGGGGAGCGGGGGCGACGCGGCAGAGGGAGGAGGGGCGCTGCCTCCGTCCCTTGGCGGCTTGCACGCGGAGTGGCGGGGGCCGGGCGGTGACGACGGCGATGACGGCGGGCGGTGTGGAGCGGAGCGGCGACACGGACGACAGGCGCGGCAGGCGCTGACGACGGCGGCGACCAGACGGTCGGCCACGCGCGCGCGGCTCGCAACGGGAGGCGCGGCTGGGCAGCGGGGCCGGGCGGCAACCACGCGGGCGCGCGCACGCGAACACGGCGCGCGGGGGCCGGCTTTGCGAGCGGGGAGCTCGCCAGGGATGGGGAGAAGGAGAGCGAGGGGAGGGGGCGCTCGGCGCGGGCGACTCCCGCGCACGCGCGCGGGCGGAGCGGAGGAGGAGGAGCACTTGGCGCGGCTCTTCGCGCATGCGCGCGCGGCGCGCGGGCGAGGCGGAGCGGAGCTGAGCGGGGGAGAGGAACGGAGCGCGCCGGGGAGGAGAGAGGGCGAGAGAGAGAGAGAGAGGGAGTGCCCGGGAGAGGGAGAGAGAGAGGGCCGGGGGAGAGGGGGAGATGGGCCGGGAGGAAATCGGCCCATCGACCCCGGGAGGCAAATAGACTTTTGCGGAGGAATTTGATTTGGAAGAATTTGGATTCGGAATTGGACTCGACGATAGATCGGGGATTGAGATCTTGAGATGGCACGGACACTAGACGACAAGCAAAGAAACAAATTTCGCAATTAGGGTTTTTAAGAGATAATTTTCCCGCTAGGCGCCACGACGGAACGGGCGCTACAGAAATCCTCTCTTTTGGTGTTGTGGGCTTACTGAGCTCCTTCCCGATGCTCGTCGCCATTGGAATCCTCCCAAGGGATACCGCCGTTCAGAGAGAAAGAGAGAGGGATTTGGCAAGCTTGAGCTCAAACAACCAATGTGTGCTCGCCGCTGCCCCCTTCTCCTCGAGTCGATATATTGGTGGGTGACAAAGGACAACGCCGATATTGTTGGGTAGAGGATGCATTCATGCACCTCCTTCCCTATGGCACTACATACACTGGTGCACAGCGCAGCTCCTTCCCACCATGCGTTGGTGTGCTTTAGACATAGCGAAAATTTTAAGGGGGTGTAAGTTAGATAGTTAGACTTATCTTTTTCTTTGAGTAAAGTGCACGAACGGTACTTAAACTTGTAATGATGTGCCATCTACGTCCCTAAAATCTCAGAATGCATATCTAAATCTTAGAACTTATAGAGATGTGTCATCTAGGTCTCTAAAATCTTAGAATGCATATCCAAATCTTAGAGCTTGTCATAGTGTGTCATCTAGGTCCCAAATCACCACAGCCTCTTCAGAATCCTACGTGGTGCTGATTTGGCGTGCCACACTGACATTTAAAAGTTTCCCTTTTCTTTTTTCTTTTTTTTGTTCTCCTTCTTCTCTTTTTTTTCCCTTTCTTCTCCTTTTTCCGTGACCCGAGCAAAAGAAAGGAAAAAAGAAGAAAATAAAGAAAAAGAAAAGAAGGAAAAAAAAGAAGAAAATGGCACATCACGTCCACGTGGCATGCCACATCAGCACCACGTATGATACTAAAGAGGTTGTGTCGACTTGAGACCTAAATGATACTAATGATACTGTTAGACAAGTTCTATGACTTATAATCCATTTTAAGAGTTTGACGACTTAGACAACACAACCCTATAAATTTAATGAGTGTCTATGTACTTTACTTTTTTATTTTTTTTCTTCTATCACAAATTTACCGAGCCAAGCCGAGTCAAACTTGTCCGTTCCAATGTCACTAAAATGTGGACCAACGTGTAAGTTCCTTCTTCCTCCCCACATCCCCGGCTACGGCCGGAAAAAAAAAACCAACCAAAATACTCACGGACGCCGGCGGCCGGCGTGCCGACTAGTAGGGGGCGGCGGATGTGGAGCCCCTCCGGCGACCGGAAACGAAGGCGACGTCTTGGCGCCGTCCGGCTAGAGCTCTCAGGCCGCAGCGGGCGGGCTGGCCTCTCTGCCGCCGCCGCCTCCCAGCCAGCGCTGATGAGTGGCCTGGTTTCGTGCAATTAATTATTGGCGACGTACGGACAGGACCAAGAAATCTCGCATCGAGAGTGACAAGTGAGAACATCACTTGACCCCTAGTCTACTTCATTTCAAATCCCGCAACTTGATGCTCTAGACTACTGGTCACTACCGCATCGAAGACCTAGATGGGCATCGATTTCAAGTCAATGTCGTCCCATGTGCACAAATCAGCTTCTGGTGGTGGTAGCATTCTAGCTGGAAAGAAGATGGATTCTTTTTCCCTAGTGGATGCATGCATTCATACCATAGGTCAGCTGAGCATATCCAATTGACAGTGGCCTTCTTCACACGTTTTCTTTTTAGATATTTATTCGGGCTTTTGCTTGGATAGAAACTATAGCCAAACCAATTATGTAGATATGCCTAGTATACATATGCATTCTAACCTTACTTCCTGGAGAGACATTGCGAGAAGGATAGTCTTCCTCATGGCAGGAGCAAGAGCAACAGCATTGTCCTGCTTCTCACTGTTGTTGTTCTGTTCCTATGCCCTGGTCTCTCCAGGGAGCAGCGATGCCACTGTTGTCGATGAGCTCGCGCTCCTCTCCTTCAAGTCCATGCTGTCAGGCCCATCCGATGGTTTGCTCGCGTCATGGAACACCTCAATCCACTACTGCGATTGGACAGGGGTTGTCTGCAGTGGCCGTCGGCAACCTGAAAGGGTTGTCGCGCTGCTGATGAACTCCTCCAGCCTTTCGGGCCGCATCTCGCCGTTCTTGGGTAACCTGTCCTTTCTCAACAGGTTGGACCTTCACGGCAACGGATTTATTGGGCAGATACCATCGGAGCTCGGCCATCTCAGCAGGCTTCGGGTGCTGAATCTGAGCACAAATTCTCTGGATGGAAGCATTCCTGTGGCTCTGGGAAGGTGCACCAATCTCACGGTGCTTGACCTCAGCAGTAACAAACTCCGAGATAAGATACCGACTGAGGTAGGAGCCTTGGAAAATCTTGTTGATCTGAGACTTCACAAGAATGGTTTGTCAGGAGAGATCCCTTTGCACATATCAAATTTGCTATCGGTGGAGTACCTGTATTTGAGAGATAACTGGTTCTCTGGTGAGATACCACCTGCTCTGGGCAATCTCACCAAGCTGCGGTATCTTGACCTTGCGAGCAACAAGCTATCAGGATCTATTCCTTCATCTCTGGGTCAGTTGTCTAGCTTATCTTTGTTCAACTTAGGCCATAACAACTTAAGTGGATTGATCCCCAATTCTATTTGGAACATCTCCTCTCTGACAGTGCTCTCTGTCCAAGTAAATATGCTGAGTGGAACAATACCGCCAAATGCGTTCGATAGTCTGCCTCGTCTCCAGAGCATTTCAATGGATACCAACAAGTTTGAAGGCTATATCCCTGCATCACTTGCTAATGCTTCCAATCTGTCCTTTGTTCAACTCAGTGGTAACTCTTTACGCGGTATTGTTCCTCCCAAGATTGGAAGGTTAAGCAATATCAATTGGCTGCAGCTTTCGAACAATTTGCTTCAAGCTAAGGAGACGAAAGATTGGAACTTCATATCGGCATTGACAAATTGCTCCCAGTTAGAAATGTTGGACTTGGGTGCTAACAAGTTTAGTGGAGTTCTTCCTGATTCACTCTCCAACCATTCCAGTTCACTATGGTTTCTCTCCCTTTCAGTCAATGAGATTACAGGGAGCATACCCAAAGATATAGGTAACCTCATCAGTTTACAACAGATTGATCTCAGTAATAACTATTTCATAGGAACTCTTCCATCTTCCTTGAGTAGGCTCAACAAATTGCAAGCTCTCTCTGTTTATAGCAACAATATCAGTGGATTAGTCCCATCAACCATTGGAAATCTTACAGAAATGAATTATTTGGACCTCGACTCCAATGCTTTTAGTGGCAGTATACCAAGCACACTCGGAAACATGACAAACTTGTTGGCACTAGGCCTTTCCGACAATAACTTCATAGGCCGAATTCCAATTTGAATACTTAGCATCCCTACGCTCTCCGATATTTTGGAGCTATCCAGTAATAACTTGGAGGGACCAATACCACAAGAAATTGGGAATCTTAAAAATCTTGTGGAGTTCCATGCATATTCCAACAGATTATCAGGTGAAATCCCTAGCACCCTTGGTGAATGCAAACTTCTCCGGAATCTCTATCTCCAAAACAATGATTTAACTGGTAGCATTCCCTGACTCCTGAGTCAATTGAAAGGTCTAGAAAATCTTGACCTCTCAAGCAACAATTTATCCGGTCAGGTTCCCAAGTTCTTTGGAAACATTACCATTCTCTATTATCTAAATCTTTCATTCAATAGCTTTGTTGGAGATATTCCAAACTTTGGTGTTTTTGCAAATGCTACTGCCATATCAATCCAAGGCAATGACAAACTTTGTGGTGGCATACCTGATCTACATTTGCCTCCATGTTCTTCAGAATCGGGAAAGAGAAGACATAAATTTCCACTGATCCCTGTTGTTGTTTCTCTCGCTGCAACGATTTTCATCCTTTCATTGATCTCTGCATTTCTGTTCTGGCGCAAACCTATGAGCAAACTTCCTTCAGCAACATCTATGCAAGGTTACCCATTGATCTCTTACCAACAAATAGTGAGAGCAACAGATGATTTCTCGACAACCAATTTGTTGGGTTCTGGAACATTTGGGACTGTGTTCAAAGGAAATATAAGTGCTCAAGATGGTGAAAATACAAGTCTTGTTGCTATAAAGGTCCTAAAACTTCAAACTCCTGGGGCACTCAAGAGTTTCTCAGCCGAATGCGAAGCACTGCGAGACTTACGGCACCGAAATCTCGTGAAGATAATTACAGTCTGCTCAAGTATTGATAACAGAGGGAATGACTTCAAAGCAATTGTACTTGATTTCATGTCTAATGGTAGTTTAGAAGGCTGGCTGCATCCTGACAAAAATGACCAAACAGACCAGAGGTACTTAAGTCTCCTTGAGAGAGTTTGTGTACTGCTTGATGTGGCTTATGGGTTGGATTACCTTCACTGCCATGGCCCAACACCTGTTGTGCATTGTGATCTTAAGTCAAGTAATGTGCTCTTGGATGCTGATATGGTAGCTCATGTTGGAGACTTTGGCCTCGCAAAAATTCTTGTTGAGGGAAGCTCAATGTTCCAACAGTCAACAAGCTCAATGGGATTTAGAGGGACAATTGGTTATGCTGCCCCAGGTTAGTGTTATATGTTTCCTTACCTGTTTGCACCCCAATCACCTTTTCAAAATTCAGAAGAAAATGTTTAATTTGATGCAACCTTTTGTTTTCCGATTTCTAGCTTATCCTACATTTCTGTTCTGTATTTCCAAATGTTTGATTCAACAGAGTATGGTGCTGGAAATATGGTATCAACAAATGGAGATATCTACAGCTATGGAATTCTAGTGTTGGAAACAGTTACCGGGAAGAAGCCTGCTGGTAGTGAATTCAGACAAGGATTAAGCCTTCGCGAATACGTGAAGTCTGGTCTAGAAGACGAAGTGATGGAAATTGTTGACATGCGTCTATGTATGGACCTTACGAACGGCATTCCAACTGGGAATGATGCCACATACAAAAGAAAGGTTGAATGCATCGTTTTACTTCTTAAACTTGGAATGTCCTGCTCTCAGGAATTACCCTCAAGCAGATCGTCAACCGGAGATATTGTGAAGGAGCTTCTGGCCATCAAAGAATCTCTCTCAGGCGACGAGCACAAGATGTGATGATGGAAGATATATATGCCAAATGTCATGCTGCGATGATTCATGTATCGATGATATATATGCTGTTGGATGACATTAGGCTCCTTTCTCAAGTGTTCCATGAAATGTTTTGAACATCGAATGATCACTGAAATTGTATCTTTCTGCTAATCTGTGAACCTGAGAGAATTATTTCCTGTATTTTAGTCAGAGCTCAATACTAGTTCATAAGCCTCCACTGCATGCTGAACCTCTGTAGTATATCAAGTATGCAGTAGCAGTCTATTAGCTTCAGCTATAATCCTGTGCCGTATTATCGTTTACCAGTAACGCGTCTAGCATTGTCGTTTCTTCAGTTTCGTCAGAGTCTGTTTCGGCGTCTGTTTCTCTGTTTCTTTTTTCCTATAAGCCGAGTCTTCCGGGTCGTGCGTCGTGTGTGAGTCATCCGGGTTTCAGCGTCGTGGTCAAGTCGTCGTGGATGATGGCGTAATGGTGTCAGTTTGAGTTTGTACATATTGGCTATATATATGAGCATCAGAAAACGTCGCATGTTGGTTCGTGGCACCAAAATCCTGTTCGTGTTCATCGTTACCATTCTCAGAGAATTTGCGTGAGAGAGAGAGATAGTGAGGATCCACAATCTTGGGCTCGGGCGCTCGGCTATCATTTCGTATCATAGCCATGTCCGCTCCCACCAGCGGCGCGCCACGCACTCCCGGCGAACTGGCCGCCGGCTCTCGCCGTCTCCGCCACGGCCGCGCGGGCGACAGTTCGTTGTTGCTATTTCTTAATGATATTACTAGAAATATAATTCCCAACAATAGCGCAGAAATACTTCTAGTATATTATGGTTACAGAGTTCATCCGCAAGTGTATGGATATACCATTGTAGCATTTCACTCGAGAGTATTCCAAGGGTATCGTATTTGTTTAATCCCATAAAAAGATTATAATAGAGAGAATCATACTAATAATTTATATATGACTTGTAATAATCCAAAGTCTAAGCATGGGTTAATATAATTCAGAGGGTAGAGTGACACTAAGCAGAAGCATTTATACTCTCATTCATAATTATCTAAACTAAGTGGAAAGAACATAGAAAGATACTATTCCTATACTTCTAGTATACATACATATTATACATACATCCTAGGCATATTATTACTTAGCTAATATCCTCTTTCCGATACCCTCTTGGTGCTTCGAGAAGTCACCCCTGATTGCCGAGTTTCTTACGACAATCCGTCATGACTGTCCAACCGGGCTAAATACGGAGTACCCTCCCCAGGAAATTAACTTAGGACTATATACACGTGCGGAGGAATACCCGTACTGAGCTGTCACCATCAGCGGCCCACCTCGCTTCCGCAGCATATAACCCCAAATAATGATATCCAGTAATCTAAACACCACGCTTAAATTACCAAATACTACTCTAATATCATCGTCATGACATAGAGTCATCGTATAAACGATCATTATACCCACACCATTGCATCTCCCAGATAAGCTAGCATCATAATAAATGTAACTTGGACATATAATAAAATTGGTATTCATATACTCGGAAAGTAATACAATACCAAAGTAGTATAAAGAAGAATATTCTAAATAAAGTACAAGTCTTACAAAAGAAAGAAAAGCTACTAGAGCCACACCCGAATTCTTCCGAAGACTTTGAGGACTGAAGATTATATTCTATTTCTATTCCACTATACTCTAGAGACTATACTAAACTTGAGAGATGAAACGAGCTTCTTGCTTAAGATGTGTGGAGAAAGTGAGAAGGTGAAGCCCTTTTATAGCCTCCCAATGATGGTTGTAACAGTTGGAATGATCGGAAATACCCTCCAACCGTCATTAGGATGCAATCCCAGACGTCCACGCCGAACCTTGGTTTCAACAGTGGAGATGGGGGTTCGGCTGAACCATGGGCTGGTCCAATCTAGCCCATTTTCGGCTGGCGGCCTCCTGGACTTCTTCTCTTCGCGGACTTGTGAATCTTGGCCCAATTGATCGTGTCATTTCTGAGTTCTTGGCCCATTCGTTGATAAGTTTAATTCTCGACATTGTCCGATTGATTGATCGCCTGTTTTGATGTCGATTCTTCTCCATCTTATATTTATTCTCTGCGAGAGGTTAGTAATCCTAGTGCTAGTGAAATATTTATTATCAAACATAAATATGCATTGCAAGCATGACTAGTTCTCCTTTATTTTGGTACTATTGACAATCGAAACTGATCGTTAACGACCGTCAACAAAATCCCCCAAGCTTGAACCTTTGCTCGTCCCGAGTAAAGGACGAAAGGAAACAAAGTCCTGATTGTTGATCAGGAGTTGCTACTATGATGTATATCTCAAATGTACAGGTGCAACGTATGTGTACTCTTTCTCAAATCAAATAATTTTTGGCACGGTGTCTTACCCTTACCCCTGATTCTGTCACGACCGGAAATAACCCAACGGGCGTTCCTTACGTGTGTGTATTATTCCTTGTCCCAGGAGGCAAGGTACACCAAAAGTTGATACAACTCAGAGTTTATCAAGCGGAAGCGTAAATAGTTAATTATTACATGGGCAACGAAGGCCCAGCACACACGAAGACAACGAAAAATAGCAGAAGACTATGGCGATGACCACAGGCGCTTGACGGCAGGCACGAGCTAGACACCAAAGCCTTCATCTTCGAGGGGCTCCTCTTCTGGGTTTGGGAAAAAATTGAGCAAGACTGAGTACAACCACCGTACTCAACAAGACACACCCACAAGTGCAGCATAAATGTAAAGGAGTACAACGGAGTTATAGTATAGGGGTTAGGAGTTGCAGTAAATAGCATTAAAAGACACTTAGTTGCTCAAAGCTATTTTGTGAACACGATCCTAGAGCTATACAATATTATTAATCAAGGCCGTGAACCCACACGAGCCTGCCTTAACCCAAGGCCTATGATGATTCAGACCGAACTGGCAACCCGACCCTGGGTCCCAGCTCGTCCCAAGCCAACCCAGGCCAACCATTCCACATTTTAGTTGTTAAGCAGGTTTTAAGAATTAAAACACTAACTTGGGTACATTGCTCGGCTTGCCCATAACCGAGGGCGCGGCTATTCGAATAGATTATACTCTGATCAGAGGTGTACATCTTTACCCACAAGACACATCTTCCTCACGTGTAACCACGTGCCATATACCACCACGGTATACGAACGGAAGACGTGACATAGTTTCCAACCCATCCTAGCCATAGACAAGAGTACCGACCCAACCCCACCTACGGCCGGAACCCCCGGGACAGGTAGGCAGGACTGAGCCCCTAGCAGCAGGACACCCACCCTGTGCCATGACATCTCGACTATTGGGCCGTAGCTCGTGTAGCCTTCATTTGTCCTAGAGATGTCCATCGAACCCCCGACTTCGTCCATCTCCATCCGTGTACTTTTGTTTATAACCAGACTGAGCCACAAACTAAGCCTTACCCACTAGACATGTGGAAGTACGGTAGTGCTTTGCAACAGAGGCCCGAAGACCGGTCCTTATATGGCCGAGGTGCTACTATCAAAACCATGCACCCCGAGCCCAGCCTAAAACCATTTTGAGGATTTTGAATAGAGGGGGAGGTGTGAATCCAATTCCACAACAATCCAACCATTCCATAGTGTCCAAGTGATATGAATATTACCACAGTCTAGAGTTATAAAACCACCTAATGTTGCCTAATTAATCAGCGAAGCATCTACCTAAAATCATACTAGTGATACCACGAGTAGAGTGTCCACTAGTTGGGGTTTCGTTTATTCTAGGGTGAGCAAAGAAATAATAACAATAACAATAATAAGGTCATAACAAAGGTAAATAGGCATGGCTAATTAAAACAATGATAACGCGGGAATTTAAATAAAGCGATAATGCATTAATTTAAATCAAATTAATTTTATAAACTGGGATTCAATATGCTCAAGGATGATGTGACTTGCCTTGCTCGCTTTCCCAAACGCCGGCTTCAACTTCCACGAAGAGCGGATCTTCCGAAGCTGCAACGTCTACACGACGAACGGAAAAGAAAAGGCTTTTACTCTAACAAACTCCATATAACAAGCAGGAACAAAGCACAAAAATGGGTTCTTGACTTCTTAAGGAAAAATTAGAGACTTGAACGGTCCAATTCCGAGTTCAAATGGCCAAGTTATGGCCATTTGAAGTTTATATGCTCTTTAATTGAATATTTGCGAATTTCTTCATTTAAATTTTAATTTAAAATTGGATTTATTGCGTCAGCCGAGGGGAGGGGCGCGCGGACCGGGTCCATGGGAGTGGGGCCCACGCGGCAGCCTCATGGTCCACGGTGGACCGGGTGCACGCGGCTCACACCGACCGGCGCCGTGGGCCCCACGCGTCAGCCGCACCCGAGGGCGCGGGCGGCTGACGGCCGGGCCCCACGCGGCAGCCGCTCGGTGCGCCCGAAGGCGGCCACGGCGGCGCGGCCGGCGGGAGGCGGTGTCGCGACCGAGAAAATTGCCTTTTCCCGAACTCTAGTGTATTAATCCCCGTCCCAGGAAAAGCCGGGGTACACCACACAAACATGATATAAAAGACACATCTTTATTATATCGATAATATTTACATTATTACAAAGGCACTTAAGGCCTGACAATCAAAAATAAACAGCAGCGGACTAGCGGGCCTACGGCTCCATCTTCACAGGCGCTCAACTGGGGTATAAGCCAGGACTCCACCTAAGACATCTTCTCCAAAGCTTCTCTTACTGGGGGGGGGAAAGATAGAGCAAGAATGAGTACAACCACAGTACTCAGCAAGCCACACCGGAAGATGCATGATTAATGCAAGGGGGTACAAGGGGATAATAATAGGGGTTAGGTTTTGCCGTAAACAGCATTTAAAAGTCACTTAGTTGCCCAAAGCTATTTTATAAAGACGATCCTAGAGCTACACAATATTATTAATCAAGGCCGTGGACCCACACGAACCTGCCTTAACCCAAGGCCTACGATGATTCAGACCGAACTGGCAACCCGACCTGGGTCCCAGCTCGTCCCAAGCCAACCCAGGCCAACCATTCCATATTTTAGTTGTTAAGCAAATTTTAAGAATTAAACCACTAACTTGGGTACATTGCTAGGCTTGCCCATATCCGAGGGCTCGGCTATTCGAATAGATTTACTCTGATCAGAGGTGTACATCTTTACCCACAAGACACATCCTTACTCCGCATTCCATGGCCTTGGAACCCGTCGTAAACATATGACATAACCCTTCACCCATCCTAGCCGTGAACAGAAGTACCGACCCAACCCTGCCTAC